GCAGCAACCCTAATATTAGAACCTGATTAAAAAATTAGTGCAATAAAAAGTAGACACATTAAAAAAAAATTAAGGTAAAATAAGAATATTTTCGTTTAAACTATTAAACTATATCGTTAAAATATAAATATTGATCTTATTAAACCGTTTCATATGTATATATTTTTTTTTATATATGTAAATAGAAAATTTAAATTACTAATTTCTATTTTTTGCAGAGACTAAACATATGATACATCCTTAATGAAGATTTTACAATAATAATTAATATTCAATAATTGTGTTATGATTTCAGAATATTCTCATTTTGAGAAAAAATAAAAATATTTATTTATGCAATTAAAAAGTTATTTAATAAATTGTGTCGTTAAACTGTAATGTGTAAAATTTCAGATCAATCGCGAGTAGAGATCATTCGGAACCACACCCAAAACTTTCATTAAAATCTAAATAAAATTTATATAGTAAACTGTGATGCAACAGTAAAATAAATATAATTGTAAAGTTTGGTTATTTTAACTGTAATAATTTTATGCATACACTTATACATGTTTCCTTCAATAAATTTTTAAGAGTAAAAAAAAAGGCAAACAAATATGATATTGGCATACAGATAAATTGACGCTGACAGTTTTATCATGTTACATGATAAAAGTTGTGATTCTATTAGCAACTTTCCGAACTAATATCAAAGTATTCTGCTGGGACAGCTTGACACGTACCTAATAAATTTGTTACTCTTAAACATGTAAAATTTTCATACGGAACGTGAAATAAAAAAATAGCTTTAAACTACCATACAATTCAGAATTTGTTTTTTTTTAATAAAAAATACTGACAATACAGATGAAAATCTGTCTTTTTTTTTAAATAATCGATATCGGAAGTAAATACGTATATTAGAGGTAGAAACTTATGCTAATATATAGATTTTTCACTTTGACGTAAAAAAACAAATTTATACAGTTTATCTAAAAGTTTTAAATACTCTGTTTATTGTTAATAAGAGAAAGTATCTAAATTCTCAAAGGCAATCTTAATTAATTAAGATTAAGTATATTTGGGAAATTGCACCGTGAACTTCCTATATATAGAATTCATTTGGAATGCACCTGCATTGAAACAGCGAGTAGGCTCGCCGAATGCAATTGTCCAAATGTACTCACTCAAAGACCGCCCTTGAGATGTGTGTGTGTATGTATATATATATAATATATATATATATATATGTATATATATATGTGTGTGTGTGTGTGTGTGTGTGTATGTATATGTATATGTGTATGTATATATGTATGGATGTATACATATATATGGAAGTGAAGGTACATGGGTCATAAACTCCCTAACAGCTTTCAGGCTAACAAGGAATACAGCTTCGATAAGGCTGCTCTCCATCGACATTGCAAAAAGGACTTGCGCGAAAACAGTCCTGTAAGATTTCAAGTAATGCACGAAACGCGGAAGACTTCATTTAACTCGAGAGAGTAAGAAAGGACGGCAAATTCGACGATAAAAATAAAATTTAAAAATGTCGCACCGGTTAGCTGTTGCAATTTCTCTTTAGCGCTTCCCCCTGCCACTTGCTTAATTGAAAGAATCAGCTTACCCCTTTCTTGCTGATTACGGCGACGGCATCTGATGAGGTTTTATTCGGAAAACATGAAGAAACCGCTTATCCGTTATTTATGAAAGTTGAAGAAGAATAGATGGAATGAAATAGATTATTTCTTTATCAGAATGAGATATTATTAATAAGATCTATTGTTTAAATAAAATATTAATAAGACCCATTGTTTAAATAAAAATATTAGGTTTAATCGCTCTACGATACTATTATTATTACAACACAAAAAGTAATAAAAAGTAATATAACTCCAACAATGTTTTTTGTCTTATAAGTATATAAAAGGAAAGAATGGTTTTATTAAAGTATTAAAAAATTTAGCTATAGATCTGAAAATAATTTTATATAAAGTGTTCCAAATTTGAATGGCCAAACTTCGAGAATGTATAGGGGATCAATAAATTAAAAAAGAAGGTCTTGAGAGATATAGTCGTTTTTACTTCATTTTGAAAAAAAATCGCAAAAGAGACAAATAGTAGTTTTCCTTTTTGTACTTATTTATTACTTATTCATTTTAAATAATCTCTATATGAACTTATATACTAAATACGTAATCATTTGAACTGCGCGCCGAAATGATTTTCAGACTTATAAATTAACGCAATAAACTATATAGTAATATCGCACATTAAATTGATTAGAAATTTAATAATTTGATGCTCAATCTATGTTGACATCCTATTAGAAAGATGTTAATGTGCTGAAAAACTGTAAATAAATTTATTGTGAAAAGTATTACAGTTTTTCATTAACATCTTTCTAATTGGATGCCAGATTGAGCATCAAATTATTAAATTGCTAATCAATTTATTAAATTGCTTATCAATTCAATTTGCGATATTATTATAGTAATTTAATTGCGTTTATAAGTCTGAAAATCATTTCAGCGCGCAGTTCAAATGGCTATATATTTAATATATAAATTTACATAGACATTATTTAATAGCATCTAAGATCTAGCTTTGACCGTAATAATTAAATTCTTACTTATTGTGTCTTCATGTATACAGTTTTAATAAATCATTTATTATTGTTCATTCACACTTATTTATTTTTTTTGTCACTTGGTTAATGCAGATATTGTTCAAAATGTTGGCCTCTTGTAGCAATGCATGCGTAGAATCTTATACGGATACCTCGTGTTGCAGCCAAACACTGATTTGGTCAACGTAATGATTCGCCGATCCGACACTCTTCTGTTTGGAAATCAGGGCGCGTATTCTCATATTATCTTTAAAGCATTATCGTTCAAATCGTACACAAAAACAATAATATTCCACTTTGATAACAATAATATTCCGAAAATTACATTTTGTCTTTTTTTGCGGCTTCCTCCAAAACGAGGAGAAAACGAGCATATCCCTAAAAAATTTTTTTTTCTTAATTTATCAATTTCCCAAAATTTGGCTATTTAAATTCGGGACACCCTATATAAGCCATCAAAATAATTTTACAAAACACTCAAACTGACTGCTAGAATATTTTTTGTTGCATTATGACACGATTACGATAACTGTAGTCCCTCAAAATGAAAGTAATTTTTGGAAGTATTTTTAGCGAGAAATACGAAAAAATAGTAAAAAAACTTCTCTAGTCAACAGATACTAAAATAACTAACAATTACAAACCAAAAGCATCGTCGCTTCACGTAAAAGTCGTATGCCCCGTAGCAGGGGGGAGGTGAGGTGAAAGTCTTAATATAATTTGTAAAGATCAATGTCTTGAATAATCTCCAGAACATTTTAGTCGACAATCATTATTTAAAAAGTTATTATCAAATTGATCATAAAATTGAAATATGATTATCAAATCAAATATTAATTATAGAATTTTTTTGCTCTTATTCCTTTTTAAAAACGCTTTTAAAAATAACTTTTATTTTGAGAGGCCACAGTTATTGTAATCGCCCCAGGATTGTCATTAACACTTAAGTGTTCCATATAATTACTTTTAATGTCCGACAATATTATTTATTACAGATCTATGTCTAACTTTTTGAATATTTTAGCAAAACCATTCTTTTTGTGCATAAAATTGTCTTTTTTTAAATTTGAAATTTAAAGAAACATTTACTACCGTATAATATTTATTACAATACCAAATTTTCAATAAATAAACAGTACAATATTGAATTCAAATAGATTTCAATAACGTAGTTGCAATATATCAAAAGTATATGACAAATAGTTTTGTGTAACGGTATGTTTCGTAAATACATCATTTAGACTTTCCTCCGAGGAGACATTTCGCAATGTTAAATTTTGCTGAGATAGGCATCATATTACAGATGTCGTAATGAATCATTTTACAACAGTAACCAGCTGGATATCTACACGCGTACGAATGAGAATCGTCGACGATAGATTGCATGCGTCAGAATGTGAAAGATAACAAGCAATTACCGTTCCAGTGATCTCTTCGACAGCGCGGCGGTGACGCGGGAGTAACGATGGACGCGTGGTTTGCCCGCTGCATACTCGGCATCAAGCTCGATATTGCACATTACATTACGTCTCTCGTTCCTCTCTGCATCGTGAAATAGTTTCAGCCCCTCTTTCTGATTTCGCCCGTTTCTCTGCTTTCATATTCGATTCGCGGCTTCCGCTTTTACATATACGTATATATACACGCACCTTCGTACCAGGATTAGTAGCCAGGGTGATTTAATTGATTACGCAAGAATATGAATTAGAGCGGGAAAGAAAATTAGGAGAATGGCGGAGGAAGAGATGAAGTAGGGAACACGTATATGGGATATAGTGCTTTCGTTTCATGATATATTTCGATCTGTGATTTCGGAAGTGGGGCGCGATGGTGATGATACAATTAATTCGTATCAACTATTCATATAGCAATTTCTATTTAATCACACGCACGTTAATGCGACAATAATTGTGCATACGTTAACGCATGCGTATGCGCAAAAATGTTTGCGTACACCTTCTAAACTGGCTCGTACTGGAGTACACATTCTACGATAATTGATTACCTCTGATAACACAATTGACACATTTCATATTTCACGTTATTATGCTAATTGTATATTGATGTGTATAATTAACATTGCATATTGTTTTCTTTGTTTAATTAATACCTATAATTAATATGAGTTTTGTTTACGCTTCAGTGTAAATTCAATATAATTTTAATTTAATATCGTTATTGTTTCATTTGTAACTTATGTTAATACTACTGTTATTAGCACAGATAGAAAGAAGAAGATAAGCGGAATATAATAACTCAAGTAAAATAACTGATCATTCTGAGATTCAATAAGTAAAAATTCTCGAACGAGCGCTTCTAAATTTCATGCTAACTTCGAAATCCGCCACGAGAACTTTCATACAACATGTAGAAGTTTAAGAAAACTTACGGGATTGCTGGAGTCCAACAGACTCTTGGATGCGGCCGAGCTGACATTGTAGATCAACAAATTGCCTATCTCGTCACGGTAGAGGATCTCGTCTCCTGCAACAAGAAGATACATCAGCGGAAATTGAATTTTAAATTAATACACCCGCACAACACGTAATATCCTTATCGTACATTTCGCTATTTCGAGGATTGCATTGCATCGCTGTGATTAAATCCATTAAGTATCTTTTTTTGCGCAAAATCTCATTTCATCATGGATTATAATAAAGTTTCCCGCGTGCTTTTACGTTTGTCCCGGAGTATTTAAAAAAACGATCAGTTACAATCCTGCGTTATAAGATTCATGTTTATTTATCAGAATATTGGAATTGTATAATATTGCTGCATTGTTGCGAACAATCACTTTTAAATACGATAAAAGTTATCTGATGTAAACGTGTATCGTAATTGTGCGCACATGCATAACTTTGATTAACAATCTAATAATTACAGGACCACAAAAAAATTTTTGGAGAACAACTTAAATCAGAGTAAGCGTTTTTTATAGATTCTGATATTGAATTTCGATTTGTAAGCCGTTTTGTTCCATCATATCCAATTTGTTAGATAATCAAGAAAAATGATGGAAAAGTCTATCAAAATTAAAACATTTGAGGAAAGAGCAAAAATAAATATGACATCAAAATGTACGGTCGTAGAACTAATTTAAATATATTTTAGTAAGTTTGACAAAGTATGAGAAATAAAAAAATTTTGCTTTACTAATGTTAGATACCCATTATATAGCCTAACGCTTCATAAAATTTTAAAATCGATAAAATACTCTTGTGCAATAAACAGTCAATTGATCTGCATAAATCACGGAAGATTTTTTACGCTCTAAAAATAGTTATTTTAATTGTTACTTTTGGAAGATAAGTTAGATTAAGTTAAGCACAGAGTTGATGAAACACAAAATGTTATCAGCATAAATTTATGCGGTGCGTATAACATATAAGGCTATAGTACTTAAATTGTAAAGTAAAATTTTTGTTTGTTACACTTTGATAAACTGTGCCAAAATATATTAAATCAGTTCTAAGATTACATTTTTTAGATTTACTTCGGCTGTTTTCTTAAATGTTTCAATTTTTATAGATTTTCCTTCATTTTTTTGATTATCTAAAAAACTAGATGTAATAGAACAAAACAATTTACGAATTCGGATGTAGTGAGCAAAATCTGTATAAAACATCTATTCTGGTTTGAGTTGCTCTTCAAAAATTTTGTTGTGGTCTTGTGTAATATAAATAAAAATAATGAGCAGTATAAACAAATATGTTTTTTGTCTTTCTTTATCTTTTGCAAATCTTACAAAAAATCCTTTACTGCTTCAAAGACTTTTTCTAAAAATTTTTGTTTTCCGATAACTACGATTTCTAGAAATAGTCGCAACACTGTTCTCCATTAGACCGTGCAAAGATGGAACTTGTTCGGGAAAGATGATTGATTAATTTGCTTCCACATCGTTCGTCTGCCTTTGTGCACTCTTCCCGCGAGAAAAGGCAGACATGTAGTTTCCTTCAAAAACGATAGAAGCTGAAGGAAGAGATGTAGAAAGAGAAAAAGAAAAAAAGAAGGAGGAAGGCAGAAACGAGTAAATTTCGTAGACAAGAGTTCGTCCTTCTCGAAAATCGATTTTCGCGAATCGACAGTATGTCGTTTCATCAATCTTAGTGAGACTGGCACCGTAAAAATCTTCGGTATAAGAAGCGTTGAGTTAGATCGCGATAGACCATGAATAAGAAATATTTTTATCGTTATCGAGAAGACATAAAAACAGAAAAAGAGATAAGGAAAAAGACAAGAGATAGGAAAGGAAGCAAGAAAAAGCAAAAAAAATAGAAAAAAAAGTATGAAAAATGGTGGTAAATGCACAATGGATAAAAATTGAAGAAAAAAAAAATCGCGAAAATAACTACTCGTGGAAAGTCTTGCAAAACGAAAAAATGGTTCGGAATGTCTCATTACAAATGAGTTCAAATGTAATACGTGATCGTTTATCAAATTTATTCTCTCACATCCCTCTCACTTTTTTCCCCCTCTCGTTTTTCTGACTAAAAATACTTTATTATTTTAATTTTTTTAATGAAAATATTTTATTATTGTATTCGTACACACACAGAAAATCACTTTGTATACGTCCCACATTACACTTTCACAATTTTCACAATTATTTTAATATTTGCTTAAACATGCGAATAAAAATGTAAATTACTGAATTAAAGAAATAAAACAATATTTTACATTCTTCAACGTTATTAATTTGCATATTGCAATATGAACTTCATTCCACTCGGCCATTGATTGTTCGCTCACAAACAAGGAGTGGCATGTATTACAGAACGAATAATCACGACAGACTCAACATAGTAAATTATACCAACATATAGCCCGACACAAAAGCCAGTTTCAACAATTTTTCGCCGACGCATACTTTAATTCTTCAAGAAAATTTTCTTGCATTACTAAACCGACTATATTTTTAGAAAAAGAATTGTTTCATCTTTACGAAACAACTCGTAGCGAACTATCTATCTATAAATTTTTTGTCTCCAAAGTAAATCGGAACAACTGTATTTGTTAAGATTAATTCTTTTAACAAAGAAAAAACAATTGCAAAACAATGAAGGAAATATTGAGGAATGAGATAAAGAGTCGTAAAAAATTCAAATGTATCGGATAATATTTCGAAAAAACATTAATAAAAAATTGATACAATTAACAATAAAAAAGTGCAATTACAAAATAAATGTAATCATATATATTAAATTATTTATTAAAATATAATTATTATATGTTATATATCAAAACTTTTTATGAGTACTAAATTTGAAAAATAATACCTCGTAGATAATAAAAGAGCTTGATTTTATCATCATTTTTTAATGCTAAATTATAATATTAATAAATTAAA